GTTGGGCTGGCAACTTTTTCACAGGACCCATGCTCTAGAACAGGAGTGTCAAAGACCAGAACTGAAGGGCACTAGCAGAGCTGTGTATGTGGAACCCTTCTCTAGAATAGCAGGGATGCTGTATGCCAGAACTGAGGATCACTGTCAGAGCTGTGAGGGGAACCCAACTCTAAGATAGCCAGGGATGCTGCATGCTGGGATTGAGGGGCATTGCGTAAGCTGAGAGGGGAAGTTCCCACAGGATCTGCATGAAAAAATGGTCTCACAAGCTCTACAATCTTAAAAGAAAAAAGAGAAGGCAAAAGAGGAGCCAAGACTGCAAGATGGCTGGAGGAAATGCTTTTGTAAATACTCTGTTCCTGCCTGCTCCTCTCACTCAGTGCTTGACAGTCATGGACAATCATCCACAGGCACCCAGGGCTCAAAATAAACCCGGCCCTTTTAACCAGAAGCCGGTAACAGAGCTTTCTTTAGAAAATGCAGATGTGGAATTTGGCCTTTCCTTAGCTGTGCTGCAGTCAGCCCTGTATGCTCTGGTGTGATCCAGGCCCTGCTTGGCTACCTGATGGCTGTTAGACAACCATAGACATGTTCATATTCACTTTCGTAACTATTGTCAGAGGATTGTGAGCTTCATGGACATGGGATGGGGGGTAAGGGGAAAGGACAGAGCAAAGCTGAATACAATAGGGAGAGGAAAACTTCTCCACATACATAAGAGGATCATAGTAGTTCATGATGTAATGAAACTGAGTCCAAGCTGCAAAGTTGAGATTCAGAGCAGAAGTTTCCCAAAGTTCATGTGTACTTGGATCAGGAGTTCTGGCTTAGGCCCATTTCTCTACTGGATGATAGTCCATAGTACCTCATAGAGCATGTAAGAGAATGAAGCCATAGTATCCAGCGAGGTTTCTATACTGTGCTCCGTTCCATAATAAAAATTACTTACCCATGCCAGGCTACATTTGATCTTTACAAAAAAAGGCCAATGCATCATCCTTCCACTGCACTTTATGCATTACCTTAGATCTTAAATACCATTTAAATGGGAGGCATTTTAGGAGGCATATAACAAGCCCGTGGGAAAGACTGAATGGGATGGAGAGAGAAGCTATTCTGTAGGGAGAGATTTATAGCTATCAGGGTGATGTGTAACCCTGTAAAAACCTAGACAGGTTAGTGAGATTTGACGGCCAATAATGGCACTAGGGGGAAGGAGAATAGGGGTAGGGGAGTCCTGGCTGATGGGGGACACCCTACGCTCACCATAAAAATACGGCTCAGTTAGGAAGTGGGGCAGCTGGAGCAATGGGTTAATACTGCAGGCCTGTACCACTACAGACCTCAGGTTAAAGCCTATCGAAAGCACCTGAGTGTGGTGGTTTCAAGTTGCATCTCTGAACCTTTATCTAGGACAGACACTGTACAATCCCAGCTTTGGCTCTGGGCTGGAGGAGCAGGGCCTAAACGAGGCTCAGACCTGAGGTGCATTGGCAGAACGGTGTGGCACACATTCACCCAGGACCTGCCACAACCAACCCTGCCTGCCAGTGCTATTTGCCCTACACTTCCCCTCACAGTGAAATGTGCTTCATTGAATCTCATTTAAAGACATAACCTTGCATCAAGGCAGAGGGAAGTTTGTGTGGTAGCCGGACACTACAAAATGTAAAGGACATTTTTGCCTGGCTTGCTTCCAGCAGGGCCCTTTTGCTCAGATTGCTACAGACAACAGGGGGCAAATCCCCCTTTTCAGGCCACGGTATTTGCTTATACAACAATGTGACCTGAGTTAGGATTATGCAAACCTGCAGCACTCACTTTGTTTATGCCATGCCAAGGCAAGAGGCTGAAACTTTCAGAGCAGAGACCACTGCTGGGGCCGGTCAGAGGAAGCTGCCTCCCCCTTTTGTGGGGGAAGAGGGAGGGAATGGGGTGTGCTACATTCATATTACTTTTGTTGTTATAATGGGTGCAGGATTAACGACAATATAGTATGTGGACTGAAATTACATGGAGGACAGATGACTGGAGTGAGTTCCTGCCCAATCTTATATATTGCAGTATGTCATGCCACAGACGCAACTAACTTGGGGCACTTAAAAATGAGTTAATGTGACTAAATACAACAAATACTTTAATGTAATCGATACACCTCATTATGCCAGCTTTACTTAATTGTATCATCTTATAGTACAGGGCATTTACTTCTGCTGTGTGCTAGTGGGAAAGGAGAATTGGAACCAGTGTTTTCACATTGTTAGAGCACGGGACTGCTCCGCTTTCATTTCACCGTGTAACCTTAGGTGAGTCATTTAGGCCCTGATCCTGCAAAGCACTTTAGCACCTGCTCAAAGTACAGGAGAAATTGTACTGGCATCAGCAGGGATAGGGTTAGTCCACTGCCTAAGTGCTTTGTTGAACTGTAGTCTTAGTTTCTGTATCTAAATTGTCCCATCTGTACTCTGGGAAATAATTCCCCTTACCTAACTTTGAAAGAGGCGTTATGAGACTAAACTAGCTCTTTGTAACTCATCCGGAGATACTTAGCGGAAAGTATGGCCCCCGGGCCAGGCAATATATTATTTTTATCTCCATATACATGTGTAAAGCCCTTAGCATCAGTAACTAATGTTTATTATATTCGTATTTATATTCTAAAGAATCATCTGTAAACTCTAGTACAGGGGTAGGAAACCTATGGCACGCGTGCCGAAGGCGGCACGCAAGCTGATTTTCAGTGGCACTCACACTGCCCAGGTCCTGCCCACCAATCCAGGGGGCTCTGCATTTTAATTTAATTTTAAATGAAGCTTCTTAAATATTTTGAAACCTTATTTACTTTACATACAACAATAGTTTAATTATATATTATAGGCTTTTATAAAGAGACCTTCTAAAAAGGTTAAAATGTATTCCTGGCACGCGAAACCTTAAATCAGAGTGAATAAATGAAGACTCAGCACACTACTTCTGAAAGGTTGCTGACCCCTGCTCTAGTACTTATACTCCTACATTTAATGGTTGCATAGCTCCCAAACCATCATTAAAGAGAGACAGAAGGATCAAGGGGTAGAGCAGGACATTGTCAAGTTGCACTCCAAATACATGATCAGCTTGAAGGATTTTTTGTCAATCCATAACCCACCTAATTCTTAAGGTAAGAGTTACCCTAGGCAGGCCTCTGCACATCTCTCCCTTGCTGTTTCCCTGTCAAATGGGATGACACTTACCCTATCTCACTGCAGATGGGTACTTGTGAGAATCAGAGGACTTGATCCAAAGGCCATTGACGTCAGTGCATCTCCATTGACTTCAGCAGACATTGGATTGAGCAAACTAACTACTATTTGTTGAAGGGATATGAGCGGGACAAGATTGCATTTGTCAAGGCTGCAGAGAATGAGGGGGGGCGGGAGATCAGGCTGGAGCAGGGAAGAGGAACTGGCAGGAACTAATGAAAGCCCTGATCCCACCACAGTTCTAAGCCCAGAGGCTGAGGTCTGCTCACCCACAGCTCACTGCAGGATTGCAGCCTATGTAGTGTTAACAAAATGAAGATGAAACATGCTCTATTAAGCGCTAAGTCTTATTAGAAGTCTGGCTGGGAGCTGCTCTTTAATTTACATTAGCCTGATTAAGATAATTATGTGCTATGTGGAATGTTACTTTGTTTCATGCCCACTGCAAACAAGGCTGAATCCCGGGAGAGTTGAAGGTACTCTACCACTTCAGAAACCGTGAGGGGTCCACACAAAGCTGTGCAGGCAGGGGAGAAACAAAAGGCCACTTAGCAAACTCCCCCACCACTAAAGACTTAATGAAACCTCAACATTTTCTCTATTCCTTTCTAAACAAATCAATGGGGACATTTTGGGAACATTCTGTTGCTCTTGGCTTAAGGCGGAATGCTGTGAAAGTGGTGATTATGGTTTCTACACTTCTTAATCTTCCCCTTTGAAACATGACAGCTCCTGCACAGTTAAATGGTGCTGCAACTTGGTGCGTCTGAATCAGTAAGGGAGGTGGTCTGCCTCCATCTCCAAGGCCTTGCCTACCTGCGATTGCAGACATTGTTGCAACTGCATTGGTGCAAACCCCTAGTGTAAATAAGCAAAATGTCAATCAGCCACAGTGCATTGGGTGCAGCTCACTCTCTGCTTGAAACCACATCAACCTGCATTGGTGCAAATGGCAGCTTTGCCCAGAACTTAGTGTGTTAACCACTAGGTTCCCCCACACAAAGGTGCTTCCAACACCACCTAAACCATGAGATCACCATTTGGATTAGACGTCCATGTGGGTCTTCAATGTGCCGATCTCTGCTGCTGAAGGGTGAGTGCGGATAGGAATCACTGGTGTAACAGATACAACAGTCCTACTGTTGAGGGCTCCTGGCTGGTTCAATTACCAATGGTTCGTCTCTATTTTAGATTCAGCCTGATACTTCAAGGGACAAGGGGGTTTCAGGGGAAAAGCTATGTCATTGCAGCTTTCTAAAGCCACGCAGGTAGCTTGTGAAAGTTGACTTTGGGGTGGTAGTCTCCCTACTTGAGAGCTGCCACTCTAAGCACAACAGGTTTCTTCTCAAGCCAGCCACGTGGTAGCACAAAGGAGAGATGCACTTGATTAAAGGCTTCTTGCTACCTAGCTCAGTGGGGGTGGGGAGTGTCAGGTTCAAGGGGAACCTCCTGTCACGGAAGTGGCAAATCCTGCTGGATATTTAGGCAGACCCCTAAACAGTTTATGGAAGGAAATAGACAAAGTTAATTGACACAGGCTTCGTACAGAAAGGAGGGCACCAGGGAGGGGAGATGAGGGCTGGTTGGAAAAATGTGGGTTTTTTCCTGTTTTGGCAAAAATTTGTTTTGATGGAAATTTTTTGACTAGCTCTAGTGAGGACCCAGGTGTGGAAATGACTGATGGCAGGGAAGAGATGAACCTCTTCCCAGCATTTATACATTCATGTTAGAATATTAAATAAAGACCAGGAAAAAATCTGCAATCCCATTTTTATTAGTTTCAAAACAAGAGCAGGTTTTATTTTTTATCAGTAATTTAATTTTAGTACATCTGTTGCAAAAAAAACCCAGTGTGCACATAAACAGTTTGGTAAGAAGGAAAGTACAAGAATCAGTTTAATTATTTAGTTTTTTCCAAGATGACATTTCATTGTACCGTTCCTTATTCCTATACATTCTTCACCAAGAATACAGAGAGCACCTTCCATTCCAATGTATAACTTGACAGACATCTATGGAACAGTGCAGCTGAAAGAGGTTTTAGCTTGTTTCCAGCATTGCATTGCCTGTGTTAGTAGTACATGAAGTGGCTTTCACCCTATTTGCACTTGGGGATAGCATCTGGATCAGATGCCCCTTCTTGGCAACTGTTTGTTTAATAATGGCAACTTTAGTGAAAGGGAACATTTTTGCAATAGCCTAAAAGAAGGATACTTAATCCTGGTCTACATTAGCACTTTCTGGGAAATCTCCCTCTGGTGCAAACCCCTGGGTGGTAACAATGATGAGTGCACTAGTGCAAAGCATGTGGGGTTAGATGACATGGTGGTAAAAATGCCAATGGCCTGTCTACACTTAGGCTGCCATCATTACTAGGGCAACGGGGGGTGATTTCCTGAAAAGTGCTAGTGTAGACACAGCTTTAGCGTGCTAGGGACCTTTCCAGTAAAGTGCAGAGTGTTCTCGGCTCCACCTGACTGGAAGGGAACTGGAGTCATTCTGCACCATACAGAAACAAGCTAGGAACGGAAAACTAAAGATGAAAAGAGAAGAATCACACCTTTTCTTAAGATTTACTTTTTCTTAAAGCTGCAATTCATCATTCTGGCACCACGATCATATAGTGCCTCATGGAGCTTACCAAAGAGAGCTTCCATTGACCTCAGCTCAGCACCTTGCAGATCAGTGCTTGAGTGTTTTGGGAATACATATAACGATCCATTTGGATGAAATTCGCCAATGTAGAGGGCTGGGACAAGGTGTAGGCACCACTTAAATCCTAATTAAATTCCTACTTTAGTGGGACTTAAGCCCTCCAGATAGGACTTGGGTGGTGCCTAAGCCTTGCACTGACTCTTTCCACTGGGGTGAATTTCGTGGTACAGTAAAGGAGTGGGGTTATGAAAGGAGATGGATTTTTCCAGAAAATAAATCTTTATTTTCTGGCCATTTCCACAGTTTTTCCATGTTGTGCTTGTTCTGTGTCTCCGTAACATTCCCTCCCCCAAGCTCCATCCCATAGCATTTCCCTTTAATATTAGCATGTATCTAATGGCTGCAGGTGAAGGAGGGTGAGGTGGTGTGAAGATCAGAGGCTTTTTCCATTGCTCCAATTCTCTTCTGCCATTTCAAGTTTCCCTTTACTTTTTGGCAGGCTTTGTATCTGCTGACAGCAGCCTCATTGCTTTTCATCTCTATGCAAATTACCATCCACAATAACCTAGTTCCAGAACACAGTGCAATGTCAATAAGTAGCTGTTTTGTATACCCCAAGTCACTGCCATCCCATGAGTCACCTCAATAGCTGCTCCTCTCCCCATTTCTTTTGTCTCACAGCTCATGGGAGTTTGCATGAGGCTCTGGGAGCTTGTTGATATCAGAGTTCTGAATCAGCTGGTAGAGAAACTCCACTTGTTTCTCATAGCCCTCAATTGAGATTCTCTCATTCAAGCCATGGACTCTGTTAAAGTGAGAAGAATATTTTTCATTACAATATGCATGAGCCACCTACATGGGAACAGCAAACCCAGTCCAGACTGCTGATTCCCCAGTTCTCTTTATAAAGGCTCGGGAATGTCAGGACTTAAGTAGGAAACAGTGTGAGACAAATACAAAATCTACAGAACAATGCACTCCAAGCAAGATCTTTTCCTGAGGGCAGCACAAGTGGCTTACTGATTCTAAGGCCAGAGCACAGTGGGTAAGACCATGGAGTGGGTAGACAGGGCAGGAAAGTGGAAGTATAGCAGGCACTGTCGGTCCCTGCATTAACATACCACAGGCCCTTTAGGTCAGAGTGCAGAACAGCTACCTGAACACTCTGCTCCTATTTCAGTTCCACTCGCATGGAAGATAAAATTGATGCGCTAGCAAGTGAACCAACTCCTAGCATGGTTAATACTTTTGTATTCACATAACTCCCAGCTTTAAAGGGTTAATCAAGTGGCAGTATCATGTCTGTGCCGGCATGTGGACATGCATATTAAATAAGGGCTTCACACTAGAACCAAACCTTTCAGAACCCAGAATTGTATTTGTGATCCAGCCAACCCTGCAAGTTCAGCTGTCCCACTGGAAGGAATGTTTGAACCAGGTCCTGTCTACATTTTAAACAGAGAAGAACCGGGGCTAACTCTCTCCCATAGCAGTTCTCACCCATTATGTATGCAGCGGGACTCCGCAGGAAATGGGTGGCTTTTGTGATTCTGAGGCACCCATACTGCCACACCACGGTATACGAAGTTGGGTTTCATTCTCTAGGCCAGCACATGCTAATTTGCTTTGACAATAGTCCCTAGAGCATTCCCCACACAAGCAGAATATAATACCTGGGTAAATCGTCCGGTTTAAATACTAGTGGGTTAAATCGATAAATGGCATCTGTGAGATTAGTGAAGTGCCGGCTGTCTGTGTTTCCAATACAAATACCTGGAAAACAAACCCACAGGTCAGGTTGTCTCAGCACAAGTGAAACCAATTAGCCTTCAAGGAAAAAGGCTCGGCTGATGTTACATTTCTACACTTTGAAAACTTAAACTCCTTTTGAAAACAAATTATTGTTCCCACATCAGCACAGGAAATAAAGAATGCGGGAACTCTTTCAGCAACGAGAGGAGCTGAGCACCACACCTCGTTGGCTTCAATGGGAGCATCTGTCAGGATCAGGCTCTTATTTTTCTGTGTGTCAATTTCAAGCTTAAGTCCCTATCCCATAAACTGTGTAGCGTGGAACAGCTTGCATGATAAGGGCTTTAGATAGTTAGGTACAGCACAGATGAAGAAAGATGGTTTTTCCAGTCATGGAAGTGCAAACTGAAGAGCTAAAATGAGAAGACCTCCCCTGCCACTCCTTACATCCCTGAAGAGATTCCCTGGTATGTTTTGCAGGGAGACTCAATTCGAAGTTCATTGTTTCTGCCTGTTCGCTTTTTTCTATTTCCACCATAACTCACCACCCACCCACACACTCGCTCGCTCTCTTTTACTTTAAAGCAGAGAGATAGAACCTAACAGAAGAGGGAACAAGTTTCCAGTCGTTAACAGCTGGGGTGGAGGGATACACAGAAATGGAAACAAAGCAACTGGGGGGCAGGGGGAGGGTCAGGAATGTGGAAGTATAAGAGGAAACAATAATCATCATGTGTTTGCTCTTACCTGGAGCTACATTGCTGACATCGGGGAAAACATCCAGTAGGGTTCTTTGGATAATCTGGACTCCAAAGACATGATTATCCCAGGGGCTGACAGGGAGTGGGTCAAAGGCTTCCTGTAGATGTATCTTTACTCTGTCATCAGCAATAGTGTTTTTGACTATCTCTAGCACCTATGAACACAGCCAGAGGAACAAATAAGCAAAGGGAATGAGAGTTTTCCTTGTGGATGTCTGTGCAGGTGCCAGTTTCAAGGCTTGCCTTGTAAATCAATTGCCAGCTATGGCTCCAAATGAAGACATACAATCAGGACAGGGGCCATGTAGTGGCCTCATGGTGGAAGTCTGTTTTCCTCTTACACAATGCGCTCCTGGCATTAAAGGTCGAAGTACTTCCAAGGCAATCATTTATGGGTCAGTGCCTCAAAAGGCCTTCCTTAACCCCTTCAGTACAAAAGGACACCACTGTGTAGCTGGATCAGTCAAGTGAATGGAAATACAAAAAAAGCTTTCAGCATGATTGTCCAGAGAGAGGGGTTTGATATTATTCATAGATAATGGGCTATGTCAGACCTACTCAAGTGTGAGAGATCAGGTCACCGTCTAGTGGCTGCAACTGACAGAAGATAAGCCCTAATACTATTACATAAGCATGTATGGTCCATGGCAAGATTCCCAAACCATGGATCACCACTGGTAGCATGTGAGCTCGATGTTTCATCAATTCACTTCACAATTTTTTTAAGGCGGGGGTATGTGAACCAATGAAGTGTGGGAGCCACTTGTCTATGGGTTATTCTGAAGAAGAATGACCCCCAAAGGCTGCTTAACATAGCTGCAAGTCTATATTTCATAGAGGGTGTCCCTCAAAATCCGTGCTGTCTCCTGTTCTCCATATTTAGAAGGTAGTGTTTAGTATCCAAAGTGAGTCTTCAAAAAGAGTCCTGTAAAACAAGCCACTGAGGGTCTCTCTCATTTATACTGCATTCATCACTGTGATATCTAGCACATATAACAAACATTAAAGCAACCAACAGGCCCAAAGGGACAATCTCCCCTGGTTACAGGCCCAAATAAAGAAAAAGACACAGTGGACACGTGCATCTTATGCTATCTGCTCAAAAGGAAAAAAACCTTGGATAAATTTGGCTCTGGCAGACTGCAAGTTGCAGAACACTCCCTTCCCCTAGACTCTAAACTTGGGGACAGCCAATGAGAGCTTTCTGATGGAAAAGACCTGCTGCAACGGGGGATAAGGTATTCTCAGCTGGCCAGATGCCATTACACTCAGAGATTTTCAGAAGACAACCAATAGCTTGACTTGCAGCTGGAAGCATAAAGGAAGCCAGCACAGAGCACAGATATTACATGCTCACATCTGTCATCTGCAAAATGCAGGCAAGCAATTTTGCACTATATGAAGCTGCTGAGGGGTCATCTATGGGAACCCTAGGTAGAGTGTATTACAACTGCGCAGTCTGGAGATGGCAGAGGCAAGATCCACAATAAAGAGGAAAGCTTGCAATCTCCAGACCAGTCAACAACTGTCTATTTCAAAGGTACAGGAAAGTTAAGTAAATGACACGTCAGGGACAAATGTCATGATGAAAAAAAATAGGTGACCAAATGTAACATGCAGACATTACCTCTTCAACCTTTTGTGATGGGTGGATCCGAAAATTCACAGTTGCTTTTGCGGAAGGTGGGATGACATTGGACTAGGGGAAAAAAGAGGCTCAAACAATACAGAGAAAGCCATAAGCAGAGTCAAAGGCCAATCACAGAACTGCCACTGTAATACTACATCATCCTGATATGCACTGCTATCAAAAAGTTTTAACTACTGCTCATGCAATTCCAGGGCTCAGGATATAAGGCCCCAACCAGCTCCCACTGAAATAAATGCCCAAACCTTCCACCATTTGATCTCTGTAAACATTAGTCATTTACAACACAGGTAGTTATATAAGGATTAGGCACTTTTCATTTAGAATTTTTTCTCTATGTGAGGAAGGGTTTGGCATTTTTTTTTTTAAATAATAACTTCATTTTATCTGATGTCACTCTTCCAAAAAATCCTCCTTTATAGCTGAGTCCATTTCCCCAAAGGACACCAGGCATGACCCATGTACGTCACTTAACAGCATAAGTACAGATATGGAATTCCTGTTTTCTACAAAATATATTTTATACTTTGTTAAGTATGCAAGTTACACAGTCTTTGAACACACAGTAAAAAAGCAAGCAACATGTTATTTCTCTTCTCACCACTCAGTGTCACTGTTTACCTATTACATCTTGTTTTCTAGACAAGTGATCCTTTTCAGTAAAGATTTCCTTTGAGGAATGCACGAAGTAGGCCCAAACTATTAATTGCTCTCATAGACATAGACTTAAGGTCAGAAGGGACCATTATGGTCATCTAGTCTGACCTCCTGCATAACGCAGGCCACAGAATCTTACCCACCCACTCCTGTAACAAACCCCTAACCTATGTCCGAGTTATTGAAGTCCTCAAATCGTGGTTTAAAGACCTCAAGGTGCAGAGAATCCTCCAGCAAGTGACCCGTGCCCCACTCTGCAGAGGAAGGTGAAAAACCTCCAGGGCCTCTGCCAATCTGCCCTGGAGGAAAATTCCTTCCCGACCCCAAATATGGCGATCAGTTAAACCCTGAACATGTGGGCAAGACTCACCAGCCAGCACCCAGGAAAGAATTCTCTGTAGCAACTCAGATCCCACCCCATCTAACATCCCATCACAGACCATTGGGCATATTTACCTGCTAATAATCAAAGAACAATTAATTGCCAGAATTAGGCTCTCCCATCATACCATCCCCTCCATAGACTTATCAAGCTTAGTCTTGAAGCCAGATATGTCTTTTGCCCCCACTACTCTCCTTGGAAGGCAGTTCCAGAACTTCACTCCTCTAATGGTTAGAAACCTTCATCTAATTTCAAGTCTAAACTTCCTAGTGTCCAGTTTATATCCATTTGTTCTTGTGTCCACATTGGTACTAAGCTTAAATAATTCCACTCCCTCCCTGATATTTATCCCTCTGACATATTTATAGAGAGCAATCATATCTCCCCTCAGCCTTCTTTTGGTAGACTGAACAAGCCAAGCTCTTTCAGTCTCCTTTCATAAGACAGGTGTTCCATTCCTAGGATCATTCTAGTAGCCCTTCTCTGTACCTGTTCCAGTTTGAATTCATCCTTCTTAAACATGGGAGACCAGAACTGCACACAGTATTCCAGATGAGGTCTCACCAGTGCCTTGTATAATGGTACTAACACCTCCTTATCTCTACTGGAAATACCTCGCCTAATGCATCCTAAAACCTTATTAGCTTTTTTAACAGCCATATCACATTGGCAGCTCATAGTCATCCTCTGATCAACCAATACTCCAAGGTCCTTCTCCTCCTCTGTTACTTCCAACTGATGTGTCCCCAATTTATAACCAAAATTCTTGTTATTAATCCCCAAATGCATGACCTTGCACTTTTCACTATTAAATTTAATCCTATTACTATTACTCCAGTTTACAAGGTCATCCAGATCTTCCTGTATGATATCCTGGTCCTTCTCTGTGTTAGCAATACCTCCCAGCTTTGTGTCATCCGCAAACTTTATTAGCACATTCCCACTTTTTGTGCCAAGGTCAGTAATAAAAAGATTAAATAAGATTGGTCCCAAAACCGATCCCTGAGGAACTCCACTAGTAACCTCCTTCCAGCCTGACAGCTCACCTTTCAGTATGACCCATTGTAGTCTCCCCTTTAACCAGTTCCTTATCCACCTTTCAATTTTCTCATTGGTGTTCCAGAGCTGCAATTCTCAACCGTGCAGTTTATCAGGTTAAGACCTTGACTGTACCAGCCAGAACCTGCTGCCTCTCACTCTGCTGTGCTTGCTCTAACCCATTGTGGATTTAGGGATATCAGTCTTGTGACCATGGGACAAAGGTCCCAGCTATAGTAGGAAGTTGTCCTGTTGCTGACAATGGGTGGTCCAAAGTCTCAATCACACTCTGTGTAACAGGGTTGAAAATGTTTTTTATCCTGTCTACATTAGCACTTAAACCATTTTCAGCACCAGTTTAGAAAGAACTGGATAACAAATATTGTCATCAGTGAAACAATTTTCTATTGTAAACCCTAAGGTGTGAACTGGGCTATACTTTCAGATGGAGTGAGGCTGGCAAAGCATGAAGGCCCAGTATAGAGGCTGAGTTTAAAATTAAGTGTAGGAGGAGACTAGAAAACCAACCATTCATAGTGGTACATCTAGTAGTATGTGGGAACCACCATTCTAAATAATACAAGCGTTCTCCTCATGCTACGTGGAGGAAAAATCAAACGCACACATGAAGCTACCTTGATTCCTGCATTAAACATGGTGATTGCTGTGGTGGTCCGAATCAAGGCATTAGTGGAGGGCTTCTGCTCGAAAATTCTGCATGAAAATAAGTTTTTAAAAGGAGTTTTGTATTTATAAAAGATATAAATGACAAAAGTGAGAATTAAATTGATTAGACCAACCTATGCATTAGCAGAGCAGCTACAGTATGTTTCAATTATTAATTAAAGCAAGGTAAATGCTTTATAGTCTGATAAACTGAGAAATAGGATGGCTGATTTCCAGGGAAGATCAGGCTAATTGGCAAGAAAGCTAGAGGACTAAAGTTTCTAAATGGACATTGGTTCCCATGTTTCATGGGGGCAGAGGCTGGGAGTGTGAAGAGGGGATGTGTTCCCTTTACCTGCTGACGATGGGCGAGAACAGCCACAGGTTGGTCATGACGAGATTGAGAGGAAAACAGAACTAAGTGGTAAGAGAAAACAAAGATACACCAATTATCAAAATTCCAGCTTTGGAGACTGAAGTGATGTCACGACTCAGTGCAGAACACAGGGCTAAGGGATCCATCTATGTACAGTATGAGAGGGATGCTGCAGAGGGAGAACTATTGCACTTAAGCTTTGAATTCTCCTTTCTGAGTTAAATGATTTTAACAGAGATTAGGAAAACCCCCTAGGTAATTTACGTCTGGGGCTACTTTTAATTTATTAATATCAATGATGTGAAACTTGAGAATGAAGCTACAGTTGAATACTTACCTCTGAAGCCAAGTGCTCAAGAATCATGATTTCTGGTCCATGGCCAAACAGATTGGGCATGGGATTCTGCTCCAACCTACAACAAGCAAATGAGCATTTGAAAAAAAACTCCTCATTCTACATTATTGCAGAAAACAGGTTGCATTTTGATTCATAGATTTGACCAAGAGCTTGAAATGTAGCCATATCTCTCTCAGTTCACAAATCAAGGAGAACAACTTCACCACGGATTTCAGAGCATTCCTGTCTCATCCAAAGATGATATTTTGGGGAGGATGAAGAGATAGCCAAGGCTGGCTCCCAATGGGAAGGAAGGGACAGTAAGGGAGATGTGGAAATCTATAAAAATGGTAGGCCAAAACGATAGCAAGTCTCTCTTTATTTCAGGCACTTCTATAAAACAACACCCTTGCCCCCATCAATCTATTCTTTATCCATTGGGATAGGGAGGCTGAGAAGCAGGAGCACTACCTTGTACCACAGCCTACAGGATATAACATTTTGATACCACATCATGTTTATTTGCTTGCATAGGTTCACCTGTAGGCAGCAAATACAGTCACAAAAGATTCTTGGAGAGAAATTCTGGCAACAGACAAAAGGACAGAACAAAAAATAGATTCCTGTCACCTTTGCGGATATCCAAATTCTAGGGCTACTGAGTGACATTTAGGCCCCTGGCGTAAGTCTGAATAGCCCTGATGATAATCTAATTTATGCCTGGCTTTTTAGGGTTCCTAGGGACCATTCCAGGAAGTGTGAATAGCTGGAGTGCAGAGGTGCTCCAGCCATGCCCTCTTCCCCTGACCACAACCCCTCTGCAGGGGTTGCATATCTGCACACTTATAAGAGCCATACGCTTCAGTTTTAAACATACACAGAGAGGTACAATATATAGCGCTGAGGTCGAGTCTGTTTAAGGAGATTTCGCATGACAAGCTTAGGTCTGTTACACAGCCAGGTAAACTCTCACCTGGACAATGCCGCTGCAAGAATACCGATACTCGTCTCCTTAGGAGGCACAGAGGAATGACCTTGCTCTTTTTCCACACTGAAGTTCGCTGTAATTGAACCCTTCTCTGTGATAGCTATTCTGATGAACAAGAAATAACTTCATCAAGCCAATTCCAAATATTACATAACCGGAGTTCTTCAGCCTCTACAGACTGTAGACCAGAGGTTCCCAAACTTATTTGGCCTACCGCCCCCTTTTCAGAAAAAAAATTACTCAGCGCCCCCCTTTTCAGAAAAAAAATTACTCAGCACCCCCCTGGAAATCTACCTTCTTTAAGCAAACAAGCAGAAAGATGC